TTGGGTTCTCTGCAACTCTTAGGGTTCCCAAAATGGACTATATTTTTATTTGATATACTGAGAGCTATTTATACCAGACTTTGTCTGTCCAACTGACCTTGAAATCTATGTCTTTCATGTGCCAAGTCCAGCTGTGTGTACTTCCTGGAGAACTGTGCTGAGAATGACTCTGAGGCTATATCTGGGAGAGCAGAGGGGTGGCATGCAAGCCATGAATTACCCTCCCAGCATTTGACAATCTTCTTTTTAAGGCCATTTTGTTTTGTTTTGTTTTTGTTTTTAAAGGGCCTTAGGGTGAAATAACAAAATGTGAGTTGGAAGACATGGATTTGTGTCCCCATTCCTTATCTAGTAGCCATGGGACTGTGGCTACTAGGTGTGTGGACCACATATAACTTCTTTGGGCCCTGGTCATGTCATCTGATGAGGATGATGAGGATGATGTTGTATTTATTGAACATTCACTCCATGGTTGATATGTGCTATTTCATTTGATCCTCACAAGAACCTCTTGGGGAGGTCAGCTTTCTCATTGCCCTCATTTAACACGTGAGGAACAGAGGCACACGCTGATGAAGAAACTTGACCAAGTCACACAGCTCATAAGCTGGGAAACCAGGCTGAACCATGATAGTCTAAACCAAATGTGGGCAAAATTTTCAATAAAGGGCCACATCGTAGATATTTTAGGCTTTCTGAGCTTTATGGTCTCTGTGACAACTACTTGGCTCTGCTATTATAGCTCAAAAGCAATCAGAGATAATATGCGAACAAGTGAGTGTGACTCTGTTTCAATAAAACTTTATTTACAAAAACAGGTGATCAGCTGGATTTGGCCCTGGGGCTATAGTTTGCCAGTCTCTGGTTTGGAGAAGTGCTGTCCAGTAGAAATAATGCAAGCCACAAATGTGAGCCACACATGTAATTTATATTTCCTAGTCATCACTTAAAAAAATAAAAAGAGGTGAAATTAATTTTAATACTATACTTTTAAGCACAATATATCCAAAATATTATTTCAAAGTGTAATCAATATTTTAAAAATCATTAATGAGATATTTTACACCTTTTTTAAAATTATTTTTTTGAGATAGAGTCTTGCTATGTTGCCCAGGCTGGAGTGCAGTGGCTATTGCTACTGACCAGAGCACGGGAGCTTTGACCTGTTCTGTTTCCAACCTGGGCCGGTTCACCCTTAAGCATCCTGGTGGCGCTACTCCTGGGAGGTCACTGTATTGATGCTGAACTTAGTGCTGACACCCAATCAATATAGCACCCTACAGTCCAAAACTTTTGGGCTCAAGCAATCCTCCTGCCTCAGCCTCCCAAGTAGCTGGGACAAGGGGCCTATGCCACCACACCTGGCTGTATATTCTTTTTCTTACGTTTGTTTTACATTTATGTTTTTTACTTTTAAGTGTGTAATTTATACTTACAGTCCATCAAATCTCAAATCAGCCACATTTCGAGTACTCAATAGCCCCATAAGGCTGGTGGCTATAGAGAGGACCTCGAAGGTCTAGAACTCAGCCCTTTCTATCTGCCCTATGGGGGCCTGCCAGGGCCATAGGCAGAAGAACCCATTACAGAAATGCAATTATTGTTCTTTGATTCTGTTGGGTCTCTCAGACAGGCCCCAGCTGCTACCTTGTGTGAACTGTTCCAAGAGTTTAAGTTAGCAACCTAGAACTCAGAATACATTTTTCCTTAGAAACAACACTATAAATGGCCATTAGAGCCTTAGGCCCTCCCACAGAGCCCTAACTAATGGACACGATACCTGCCGAACAAAGTGTGGCTTGAATGACTCCTAGTGATCACTCAAAATGTTATTTTCTTTTAGTTCTAACTGAGGGTGCTGGGAACAGACTCTGCCCTGGCAGCAGGACACAGCCAGTCTCCGCCTGAGCTTTGGTGGGGTTGCTGCCCCTGGACTTCTGCATCGTGCTCCCGGGCAGTTGCCTCTTGTTGGCAAGAGCTTCATGTGCCCATTTACTCACCTAAATTCTGGGAAGGCCACGTTCCCAAGGTAGAAATAGCACAGCCCCAAATTCCTTCTTCATCAGAGTGTTTTATTAAATATAAAGGTTCTAGTATGCGCTTCATTGTTTCCTATGGGCACAAGTTCAGATCCTCAGAAAGGAAGCAGCATAGCATTTAGCAGTGATTCCCAGATTGTGGAATTTCCAGACAAACAAAAATTTAAAAAACAAAAAACCCAAAAAACTGAAGGACCTATATAAGGTAGTCAACTTGTAATTTTTCCAAGTAAACACATCAAGTAAAAAAAGACTATCAGCATAGGTACTATCATTTTAATACCAAATGATGTCAGAATGATATTTTAACACCAAAAAAGAAAAAGAAAAGAAAAAAATCTCAGAATCGGAGGCAGTTTTTTCAATTGAGCAAACTTGACTTTGTGGGGAAAACTCACTTCATTGCCTTTGTTTTTAAATTTTTCCAAGGACTATGAAAACTTTGCCTCCAGGGCAGAAGGTCTGGGGCTAGCACTTGGAAACCCTTAGCTTGTAGAGGATATGTGGTAGTTGCATAGGGTAGCGGAAGGTTCTGGACAGAAAAGAGAGGGAGGAGCACTGGAACAGTCAGCAATGGAGACGTTAGAAAGAAAGTGGCAGCCCTGGAAGGATTTGGATGAGAATTACTACGACATCAAACATATCCTTTATAGGCACAAATATCTTATGCCTGCATCTTATGGTAGAGTTGATATTTGCACATGCCTTTTACTTCTTTTGATCCTCCCATAAGTTTTACAAGATAAGCAAGCAGGAAAGAGACTACATGCATTTTACAGATTTAACAGTAACAAGTACAGAATTCCAAAGATCATTCTGCTATGGTTTGAATGTACATGTCTCTCCCAAATTCTTACATTGGAACCTAATACTCAAAGTGATATTATTAAGAGGTGAGGCCTTTGGGAAAGCGCTTAAGATACGAGGGCTCCACCCTCACGAGTGGATTACTGTTCTTACAAAAGAGGTTGAAGGGAACACTTTAGTGCCTTTTTGCCTTTCCATCTCTTGGGCCACGTGAGGACACAGCATTTGTTTGTCCCTGTTTTCCTCCCACCACGTGAGGATGCAGCTAGAGGTGCCACCTTGGAAACAGAGAGCAGCCCTCGCCACACACTAGGTCTCTGGTGCCCTGATCTTGGACTTCCTATTCCAGGATGTAAGAAATAAATTCCTATTATTTGCAAATTACCCAGTCTCAGATATTTTATTATAGCAGCATGAACAGACTAAGATGATCACTAAAAAAATTATTTTTCTTTCCTTTTTGGAGACTTTTTACTATAGCCCATGTTCAACACCCAAGCAATGTGTTTGAAGAACTCTTGGGCTATATGGATTTTCATCACTTATTCATTAATCCATCTGTGGGACAGGAACAATAATACTCACTGACGATGAGGACCTTATGACTTTCTATAAAAGGATTTTCTCCTCCGTGGTGGGCAGGAGGTCCCCATCCACCTCTTCTCTGCTGCCAACAGAGGCCTGAGCCCTCAGCCCAGACCCAGCTGCACTTAATGTCTCAACTTTCCATTTCCTATCTAAACGCTGACCGTTTCTCTCCTCTTTCAGATGCCCTCGTCTCGCCCGTCACCACCATGGCGTTTTACCACTGGCCTCCCAGCTGAAGGGTGGCAGATGTAGGCCTGGGTTTTGCTGAGTTGCTTTCGTGATGTTTCCTACATAAACCATTTTGGAAGGATAATTGCCAATGGTGACATATTCTCATGCCAGCTTATTCCTGACTCTGAGCTAGTGAGTTTGGAACTTGTGTTTGAACTAATTCCAATTTTCAAAGATTTGAAACAAACACACCAAAAAAAGAAAGAAAAGAAAAAGACACTAAAAAAATATGTCAAAAAGCCAGCTTCTACTTATGGACATTTCCAGCTCCATAAATGAGGAGTTCATTGTGGATATTCTGGGAGCTATTGAAGTGGTCTGGGTTTATCCCATCTCCCCACCTCCACCCTCACTTCCCCAGACAGTTTTTTTTAAAAAACCATGCCTCTGTTACTAATTGTTCCTTCTCAACTCACCACCCAGCGCTTTGAAGTAACTATATAAGGCAACGACATACTGTAAGCAAATGGCAGAGCACTGACACACTGAAAGCAAAATTACTTTCAACTTAATACTAATCTATTTTGCCCTTCTCCAGCTCTGGAATTTTGCTTTGACTGGGACTCCACATTTGATGAAAAGGGCTTCCCTTCTTATGTTTGCATGTAGCAAATGTTATGTCTGAAATGCTCCTCCCTTTTTTCCACATGACTTCATGTGCAAGCACTTTGACTTAATGAGTAGCTGCAGTAAACACGCAGCGAGGGACTATCATAAGCCTGCCACAGCACACCCCGCTTCAGCAAAGCCGTGTGCCGAAAGGGCCGTGAGAGGCTGCGACCTTGAACCCGGGCTCCTTCCTGGGTTACAGGTTCCTGTGGGGCTTGAGGACCGGGAGGGAGGAGGAGACACATCTCCAACAATCTCCCTTGCAGACGGCGCCTGAGTGTTAACCTTGCTTACCCAGGGAAAACACATTCGCTGCCTTTGTGTAGCTTGCACTTAGTTTTAACTGACTTATTAACGTTTCCCCCTGTTCTCCTGTCCCACAAAGGCAAGCCTCTAAGGCGTGGATGAGAGTCCCTCTTTTCCGTGTGGCTGTCGGAAGAGCGTGTATGTGCCACAGGTGGTGCAATCCCGGCTTTGATGTTGTTAACAGACCGGTTGGGGTGCAGGAGGTGGGGCAGAGTCTGTGTTTCCAGCAAGCTCCCAGGACGTGCCATGCTGCCCGCCGCCACCCTCGCTTGCAGCAGCAAGGCTCTAGGCCTCGTTTTGTTTCTGCCTTTCCATTCGGAACTGCTGTGGGAGCCCTCCTCCCTGCTGGCAGTGCCCCAGTCTGCCATTTCTCAGTGCCGCAGAGCGCTTGGCCCTGGGCACCGCCCACGTTCTGTCTCCCTCTCCCAAGATGGCAGCGAGGTGACCACACAGCCGGGGCGGAGGTGACCCTCGACCCGAGGGCAAGCAAGAGCAGAATCGTCAGGTGTGAGTTGCAAGCCCTTCCTCTTTTGAAAAGGATGTCACTAAGGCTTTCCGTTATTCTCAGGAAGTAAAACTTTCATGGTAACAACAGTCATAGTCAAGACAGGCAAACGGGATGGAGGGAGGCTCCCGCTAACAGCAGCCTAAGGGAGACGCAGGGGACGGACAGGAAGGGCTGATGGGGGTTTTGCCTTGTGGTGTACAACTTAACCCTATTTTGTCTCCAAAAAACTCTTAAATGAAATCTCTGCTGCTTGCTACAGCCTTGTGGTTGTGGGTTTGCTTGAGGCTCCAGTATGCCAGGTAGCACCTCTAAGCCACTTTCCGTAGGTCAGCTCACGTAGTCCCACGTCACCTGTGAGGCAAGAGCTCTTAGCGGTCCCCTTTCACAGATAAGGAAACAGAGGCCCCAGACCAACCCACTCCCACTGTCTCTGTGGCACAGTGGCTGTCTGCAGTAGTGACAAAGTGGTGAGTCCCAGTTTTGGGAGTTGCAATACGAGAACAGTAACTTCCAGGGAGTCCTGCCTCATAGGAGGAACTAATTTAATGACACAAAGGTGGGGAAACCAAGGCGCAGAGGGACAGAGTCACTTGCCCTCGGCCAGGCTCCCAGGAGAGAGAGGCAGGTCGCCGGCTCCACAGCCAGGTCTGGAGGCCGCGTGAGCACCTCGCTGCTGCTCTCCTGTCCTGGCTCATGACATGGAAGAATCCAGTTCGACTTGGGGCTCTAAGAAATTACCTGCCAACTTTAAAAGTGGGAGAGCATTTGTGGCTCCTCCATCCTCTGCGTTCTCATGTCATCTGGGGCTCCACCTCACTGTCATGCTTGGATTCCACCGAGGAGGGTTTCCAAGTGGCACTCTGTGTGGGGAATCCCGTCGGCGTTCACGCCACCCCCCTTTGCCCTCAGCCCCGATGACACGGGGTGCTCCTCAACTGCAGCCCTCGTCGTGGCACCTGGAAGTGTCTCCTCGCATTCCAGACGCCGGTGGGGTGGAGGAGGGCTCAGCATGGGCTGCTCCCCACTGAAACGCCCTGGGCCAAGCTGCCACCCCTGCCGTCACTGCTGAGTGGGAGGGTCTGGCTGGGCCTCATGGGGCACGAGGGTGCTGCGGAGCAGAGGTGGCCTCTCTGAGAAGCCCGGGAAGTGTGAGCCTATAAACGCAGGCTGGGGTGGTTCTCCCAGGATGGAGGCCAGGAAGTCGCCCAGCCTCGCTCCCCAGTAAGCCCAGCGCCTAGAGGGACGTGCTCACGCCAAAGTGCCGCGTCCTCTGCCACCTGCCAGCTTGGGCACACCTGTAACCCCTCACAGGCACACCTGTAACCCCTCCCCCCACGCTAACGACGTCATTTCTCTCCTCCTCCTCCTCTTAGTCTCCTCCTTTGCTGGCAACACTTTTGTTACAGTCCATTTAGAACCAAACAAACGTCTCATCATCATTTGCCTCTTGCGCCTCCTCTTCTTTCTCAGGGGTTGCTTTGTAATAAAATACGAACCGATCTTTCTGATAGGTTTGTGTGTAGGACAAAGAGCAGCGTAGATTCTGGGGCAGGAAACGTGACTGCCATCAGCACTTCTGCACGCCGGTGACTGCCCGGCACGCGCACAGTGCAGGATGCTGGCGCGGCATCCTCACATACAGAATCGCGTCCTCACACATTAGCTGCCCTGTGACCCTCCCCGCTCTTTGGTCACTCACAGCCAAAGACACAGATCAGAGAGTCAAGTTTTTGGATTCTCAGTTCCAAATAGGCTCCTGAAACTCAAAGACAACTGCCTCGAAAGCCCAGACTCTAATTCGTAAGACTTGGGAGTGCTGAGAGAAGGAAAGAACCACAGCTCCCCGCCGGGCCTCACACCCAGGGGGCTCTCTGAGGCTTCCCCTGTCATAACATGGGACAGCAGGATGCGCTGCTGACAATAGAAAAGGGCAAGGCCGGGCGCGGTGGCTCACGCCTGTAATCCTAGCACTCTGGGAGGCCAAGGTGGGCGGATCGCTCAAGGTCAGGAGTTCGAGACCAGCCTGAGCAAGAGCAAGGCCCCGTCTCTACTAAAGAAAAAGAAAGAAAGAAATTACTTGGATAGCTAAAAATATATAGAAAAAAAATAAGCCGGGCATGGTGGCGCATGCCTGTAGTCCCAGCTACTTGGGAGGCCGAGGCAGTAGGATCGCTTGAGCCCAGGAGTTTGAGGTTGCTGTGAGCTAGGCTGACGCCACAGCACTCTAGCCCAGGCAATAAAGTGAGACTCTGTCTCAAAAACAAAAGGAAAGCGCTTCCTTCCTACAACCCACAGTCTCCAGCTAACCTTTCGCCTTTCCTTTCTCCGTTTCTTTCAGTCAGAAACATCACCACCAAAGGCTAGAATGTTGTCCTGCTGTTTCGTCACAATTGAGATGCCAGATAAAGAAATTCTGAGTTCAAACTACAAGGTATTGCCATGAATAATAAAACGTGTCAACCTTTTCTGGTGTAGGAGCTGGGAGAACATGATAGAGACACGTTCCGCTTACTACCAGAGAAGGCTCAATTTCAAGAAGTTCCACATGGGTTCTTCCTTCACATAAAATAAACACTGGAGATTCCAAGGACAGGAGACCAGGGAATTTTAGATGTGCTGAGGATTTCATCACAGTCCAGCACAAAACCCCGTTGCAAATATTCATATCACTGGATTTTTACATTTCTAATTGATAGATCCTTTCATTGCACTGTTGTCATGAAAACAAGAATAAAAACTCACATGAAATTAGTCTCAGCTCGTAGCTGCCCTTTTGCAGCTAGAACATGTCTTGCTCTTTATGGAATTCTCAAGGGTCATCTCACAAGTTTCCCAATGAATTGGGCTGGGAAGTTATTCTTCTAGAAGGCAGAAAGGAATGTAAGCAGGTGCTCTAGGTTATACAAGTTCCTGGGTCCAGTAGGACACCCACCCTTCCCTAAGTGCCGCCCCAGCTGCCCACTAGTCCTGTGTCAGTCTGAGAAATTAGCACCATAAATGAGGCCAAATGGATTGCTAGGAGGCCAGTCCCAGAATATAAATTCCTAACACAGGCTCCTGCACCACTTACTGTTATGTTTTACCTCCCTCTCTCCCCAGGAACAGGCCAAACTTGGAATCCGTCACTGCTAGAGGCTTGACTTGCAAACATGTCCTAATTGATAAAGATCCTGTATCAAGAGATGGAGAAATGGAGGGAACGACATTGATTTGCCAGCCAAGCTCTGTGGACTAAATCTGAGTCCTGGGAAAAGAAAGGAAGGCATTCTTTCCATTTCCTAGACACCCATGGTTGTGGTTGTGCTGAAAATAAAAAAGGGTTAGATAATTGAATTGAGTAACTGATACAATTAGACTAATAAAAGCTGGACTGCAATTGTCCTACCTGGGCAAGGCTGGGCCGTCTGTCATGTGATGGTACTTACAGTTCAACAGTCGGACCTTGGGAATGTTCTGCGTGAGGATTAGGTACTTCTGGTTGAGACCATGGATCAACACCACTCCCTGGGGGTGGTTCCATGGGTAATGACAGAGATGTTGTCACTGCCCTGGGAAGAGGGGTGTTCTAGCACTAGGAACAGGGTCTCTGGAAGTGGCTCTTAGAGATGAGATTAGACACCCCTCCTCCCCAGATTCTCAGGGTCATCTTTGCCCAGGGTTTGAAGCATGGAGGTGCTCAGAGCACTTCTGATGACAGGACGAGGGAGTGGCCTGACCAAGAGCCTGGAGGGGCAGGGGCTGTGCGTTCGCTGCAGGTTCTCGTCTGTGTTCTATTTCCATCCTGCTCTTCTCCAACTTTGGTAGATTCTTATAGGAAAGTACCATCTGGTCTCTGCTGTGATACAAAGTTAAGGGGAAGGGCTGGTGGGTGGTACAGAGGAAAACAGTGTGCCTCACTGGGGCCATCGGTGGCTGGGGACAGATGCCCAATAGTTAATACACTGAGGGCCGTTGGCGGCAGCACAGCGGAGGCACCAGCTGTGGCACAAACCCACATCCCCTCTGCCGAGCAAGTTCTCCCCCTCTGCGTGGACCAGCTGAGTGCCCCTCCTCCGTGAGCAACCAACCAGGATCCTAGAGCACCTGGATCAGTCAAGGAAGCAGCTGGGAGCTTCCGCACTTCCTGTAAATTTGGCCAGCGAGACATGCGGCAGTTTCACGGGAAGCATCACCTCTCTTGTCATTCATTCTCCTCTTCTTCCTTTAGTAATAGAAACCCTGAAATTTAGCATGGCTGCCACAGTAAAGACTTTCTTTTCCTGCCTCCTCTGCAGTTCAGCGTGGTGTGGGGCCTAGTCCTGGCCAATGGGACGTGCATGGAAGCAATGTGTGCTCCAGCCAGTGCACCCCTGGGCACTCGCAGAAACACGGTGGTGGACTTTGCAAAGGGAAGGTTTTCTTATGCAAGTAGGTTGGAGGATATGGTCTTGGAGGTTGAAAGAGGGGCTACCATGTGACTATAAAGACTTTTACTGTTTGGACCCTACCTTCCAGCAATCTACAGTCGATTTTCAGCCTGGGGGAGGTAGAGCAGAGAAGGATAGGAAAGGCCAGTAACACCGGGAAGGTGGATGGGGACCGGGACAAACTTATCTGCTAGTAAAGTTAACCAACAGTGCAAGGGCGGGTGGCTGCACCAGACCAGAGGTCTCATGGCACTTTCAGGCCAGGAGTTACCTGTGAACTGAAGTGGCCCAGGCAGGCTCTACAATGGATGGCCAATCGCTGCAGAATTGCAGGTGGGGTGGGTTTCCATAGTTAGGTAAAATCATGAGGGAATGAAGATGAGGAGCACAGTATGTGCAAAAGGACAAAAACCAGAGTGAGCTCAGTGTCCACGATGAGAAGCAGCCACTAGGCCCTGTGAGTCAGGCTCTCCCACACGGCTCTGTCCTCTCCTGGCCCCCCACCCCCAGCATGTGGGCAGTGAATTGGAGAATCTTGCCCACCACATAGAAAATGCTCCGAACAAATCAGCCAGCAAAAACGTCAGTGGCATATCCAGATCCAGCATGCAGGAGGCAGAGAGAAGCAAATTTATTCATACTCAAAGTGATGGCAGACAGACCCACCCTCCCAAAGGGGAAACGCCCGGTGATTTGCCATCAGCTCCTTAATGAGGTGGAGGAGGGAGGGTGCAAGGGGGAGGCTTCAGCAGGGAGGGCAGGAAGTGCCTTCCAGTCCAAGTGTGTTTGAGGTTTGTGGATTATTTAGTACAGTGATGGCCCGGTATTTATTTGTTACATTGAAGTGCAGCTTTTTGTGTTTGAATCAAAAGCACACCAAACTGCCTATTGTAGAAAATCTGGCTCTATTATGTCATAAATGTGCATTATATAAAGCAAAAAGAAAAGGGAAAAAAAGAAAGGGTTTAAAAGAACAAATAAACCATGGAGCTTATAAATTATGGGAGAGGCTAAGGGGAATGGGAAAGGGTCCAAGGCGGCTCTCGTGCTCTCTGCCCGCCCGGCTGCACCCATTGCCACCACAACCAGCGCTTGCTCAGAACCCAGCTCAGGCAGACAGATGGAGATGCAGTGGTTCTTCTTGCCCCAGTCCTCGGCACCGTGACTGTTCTAATCCTGTTTGATACCCTGCCTCAGGTTTTATGGAGCTGCATCAAGAAGAATAATGGAACAGTAGGAAAACAGGAGAGGAAGGCAGGTGGGACTCCCTGAAGCACTTTGCATCACCCAATAAGAGGAAGTCGCTTGAAGTAGCCCCTCCCTCTCCGGTGTCAAGCTGTCCTGCTATTACAGCAGCTTCGCAGATGGTTGCCCTCTGTCGTCTGCCCCTACTGTGAGCGGGTGGAGAGCGTTCCTTAAACGGCTGCAGTTCTGGTGCTCGCCTATGTTTTCACTCCACCTAGTTTGTTGTTGGCTTTTCTAACAGCTTAATTGAGATACAGTTAAGATATAATTCACATATGATACAATTCACCTATTTCAAGTGCATAATTTAGTGGGTTTTAGAATACTCACAGATTTGTGGAACTATCACCATCGTCAATTTTAGAACATTTTCATCACCTCAAAAAGAAACCCAAAACCCTTTAGCTATGACCTTGCACCTGCCAGTCCCACCTCCCCTATCCTTGACAACCACTGCTCTACCTTCTGTCTCCAAAGATTTCCCTCCTCTGGACATTTCATGTGAACGGGATCACATAATGTATGGTCTTTTGTGACTGGCTTTTTTCACTTAGCATGTTTTCAATGTTTATCCATGTTGTAGCATGTGCCATTTCTGTTCATGGCTGAATAATATGCTGCTGTTTGGATATACCACATTTTGTTTATCCATCCATCAGCAGATGAACATATGGGTTGTTTCCACCCTTTGGGCTTTTATAAATAATGCTGCTATGATCATTCATTGTACAAGTTTTTGAATGAACATATGTTTCATTTCTCTTGGGTACATACCTAAAAGTAGAATTATTGGGTCATATGGTAACTTTAAGTTTAATCATTTGATTTTTTTCAAAGTGTTTTCCTAAGTAGCTACCATTTAACATTCCTACCAAAAGTTTATAAGGGTTCCAATTATTCTACCTCCTGCCCACGTCTGTCATTGTCTGGCTTTTTGATTCCAGCCATCCTAGTGAGTATGAGGTGGTATAGGCTTGCATTTCCCTGATGTCAATCATCTTTTCATGTGCTATTGGTCATTTGTATATCTTCCTTGGTGAAATGTTTATTCGGATCCTTTACTAATTGTTACATTGGGTTGTTTGGCTATTTATTACTGAATTGCAAATTACTGAATTATGATTCTTTATATATTCTCAATACAAGTTCCTTATCAGATATATGATTTGCAAATATTTTCTCCCATTCCATGAATTGTCTTTTGACTTTCCTAATGGAGTCCTTTGTAACACAAAAGTTTTTATTTTGATGAAGTCTAATTTATCTATTTTTTCTTTTGTTGCTAATACTTTGATGTCATATCTAAGGATCCTTTGCCAAATCTAAGGTCATATTTCTATGTTTTCCTCTAACACTTCTATAGTTTTACCCTTCTAGTTAGGTCTTTGATCCCTTTAGAGGTTTTTCTTTTATGTGTGTGTAAGGTAAGGGTGTAACTCCATGCTTTTGCAAGTGGCCACCCAAATGTCCTAGCACAATTTGTTGAAAAGACTGTTCTTTCCCTCATTAGATGGTCTTAGCACTCTTGTCACCAATCAGTGACCAGCGATATATGGGATTATTTCTGGGATCTCAATTCCATTCCACTGATCTATATCCTTATGCCAGTACCACATTGTCTTGGTTGCCACTGCATTCTAATAAGTTTTGAAATCAGGGAATATGAGCTCTTCTGCTTTGTTGTTCTTTTTTGAGATTGTTTTGGCTATGTCTTTTGCAATTCTATATGAATTTTAGAATCAGTTTGTCAATGTCTACAAAGCAGTCAGCTGGGATTCTTTCGGGGATTGCACTTACTCTGTAGATGAGTTTGCAGAGTATTGCCATCCTTACATTAAATCTTCTCATCCACAAATTATTTTTTCAATTATTTAGGTCATCTTTAACTTCTTTAAACAATACTTTGTAGTTTTCAGAATATAAGTTATGTACTTTTGTTAAATTTATTACTGAGTATTTTATTCTTTTTGATGATATTGCAAATGGAATTGTTTTCTTAATTTCATTCTTTGATTGTTCATTGTTAAGTGTATAGAAATATAATTCATTGCTGTATATTGATCTTGTATCCTGCCACTTACTAAACTTGTTTATTAATTTTAATAGTTTTTTTAGTAGCTTCCTTAGGATTTTCTATGTACATGATTACATCATCTGTGAAGAGAAGAGAATTTTATTTCTTTCTTACCAATCTGTGTAGCTGTTATTACTTTCTCTTGCCCTGGCTAGAATTTCAAGTACAATGTTGAATAGAAATAGCAAAGGCAGACATCCTTCTCCTGTTGCTGCCCTTGGTAAGAAAGTATACAGCCTTTCACCATTAAGTGTGTTGTAGCTGTGGGTTTTCATAGATGCTTTTTATCAGTTTGAGGAAGTTCCCTTCTATTTCTAGTTTGTTGACTCTTCTTATTATGAAATGGTGTTGAATTTTATCAAATGTTCATTCTGTATCTGTTAGATGATCATTTTTATTCTGATAATATAAGGTTTTACATTCATTTATTATCATATATTAAACCAACTTTGATGCTGGGACGAATCCCACTTGGTCATGGTATGTAATTCTTTTTACATGTTTCTGGATTTGGTTTGCTAATATTTTGTTGAGGATTTTTGTGCCCGCATTCATGAGCAATATTGGTCTATAATTTTCTTTTC